AACCTATTCATTATGTACATGTACACTGTATGTGTTTTATGTAGAAAACAATCAACATGGAAAGCTAGAAAATCTTAGTATATAGTTTTTCAGACCGGGAGATGTAGCCCCAGATATAAGTGTGGAAAGTAATGATGTGAAATGTCTGGAAGAGTCTGCAGACTTTTCTAAGCTACAGTTCATAATCGAAATGAAGATGGTCTAAGCTGATCGAATTTCCTGTTCAGGCAGGTTACACACTGTACAACTCACAGTTTCCTATTTAAATCTGTACTTTTGATTTTTGAATAAATTCTAATGCCAGCTTTCTCTAGCATGATGTCCTTACACGTAGCTTCTTTAATGCCATTTAAGGCAAACAGTAGCTGCAACGATACATCAGGTTACAGATAATTTGTTAGACCACAAAACTGAGGTGGAAATGAAAAATGGAAAAATGGAAGCAAATTTCTTAACAAAATTTGTTTTGCTTTATTATTATTGTTATTATTGTTCACTATATCATGAGTACAAGAACAAATGCTAAATCTCCTTTTGAATGTTCTTTTTTTGCAGGCTGGGCTCATGTTGTCTGTGCACTGTACATTCCTGAAGTGCGATTTGGAAATGTCACATCCATGGAGCCGATTATCTTGGCATCCGTACCACATGATCGCTTCTGCAAGGTACTGATGTTAAATACATAATGTGTAGTTCCAGAAAATAACCATGCCTCCCCCACGGAAGGGAATTTTTCTAAGTTCCCCCCACCCCTCGGGAAATTCCAATTGAGCTTGATACATTAATTTTCTTTAAATTTTTTGGTCTTACAGAACCCCCAACCACCCAGGAAATTTCATTCCCTTTTGTGGGGGGANAGAAATTCCAGTAAAGCTTCTTACATTTCTTTAAATTTCATGGTCTTTAACAGAACCCCCACCCCAGGAAATTCCAATCCCTTCTGTGGGGGAGTATGGATATTTTCTGGAGCTGAACAATGTGTGAATTGTCAACTAGTGCATGTAAGTTAGGTAAATACTGTACGTAGTATCATACATAATGTGGCTGTTTTATGTAATTGGAAGTAAGGTTGGTATTGTAATTAATTAATAACAAATAAAAAATAATTAAAAGGTACTTATAGTTAATAAGAAAAACGATACCTCAAGGTAAGAAAGGCGACATTTTAGAAACAAATCTCTTTAGAAAAAGCTAGCTTTGCTTTGATAAACTTTGCTCGATGGCCTAGTGGTTAAGTAGTGAGTAGAACTCTGGATTGAACAGTCTGGGTTTGAGCCCTAATTGTGTTCTTGGGCAAGACACTGCTGTCGCAGTGCCTCTCTCCACCCAGGCTCTAGTTGTTCAAAGGGTGGATAATGCTATTCACCAGATAACACACTATCTAGTGGAAAGCATAGTTTGTTTTGTCAAAACTTATCCACTGTTTAGTGACTTCTCCAGTAGATAGTGTTATCCA